AATTTCATACTTTTCCGAGGGGTGGTGGATAAAATAGGGATGATGAGATGCTAAGAGAAAATGTCATGTGGGTCACACTAGTGAAAATTCAGGAATTTTTTAATTATTGCCTTAATAGAATTAAGAACTTAAAACTTGTATACCACTAAAATATGGATTATTAGCTAAGATTTTACGCTATTCTAATTGGTATAACATAAACAAAAAGTAGTTTAATAAAATTTTGAATGTAAGAAACTAAAACCTTGTGTCATGCGCAGTAAAGAATACCCATGGCGATAGGTTAATTACTTTCTTTAAATAAAGTTTTAAATGTCTAACTAGCTTAAAACAAACTTACTGAAACACCTTGCACACGATAAAGATGAACACAAGGAATACCATCATCAGCAAAAGCTACAATCAGTGCTTGAAGGATATGTCCTTGAGCCATTTCTTCAAAAGCAGCACAAGCTTCCACTGACCAGCCAAGTTCTTCTACAGAGTACAAAAGATTATCAGTAACTCAAAATTACTATTATCAATAAATACATGAATTATTCAATCTAATACAATTTCATAAGCTTGCTCAGACCAATTTTGACTCTTGTGGAGACAAAAGAAGAATTAAAGATATAATTAACAGATACAAATGATATCTAAGCTAGACCAAACATTAATTATCAAAAACTATGAATATTAATAAAGCTAAAAACTTTATATGGTTTCTCAGTAAACAGTTCACAGATTAGGCTGTAATGGAATACTGAGATTTTCAATCTCAGTTTATACATTTAACTGAGCTAAATAAAATCTTGCCTCTAGTTTGAATAATAAACAATCAAGTTCCTTACCATCAACAGGTTTTACACTTGCAAGATAGAACTCGGCCGCTTGGAAAGGTAATGTCATAAAATCACTCCTACAAGAATAAAAATTAAATTAAACTACCAACTCTTGAAAAAACATATTTTGGCCATAAGGCATGTTCTCTACCAATTAAAAATTTCAAAAAGTCATATAACACCATATTTTTCAATATAACTGTTGATTCAGAATAGTTTTCTATACCAAGTGGTCAGGAAGACATCTAGAAATAATGCCATTTCTGATTTATTTATCAACCATAAATATGGATGTAGTTACAGGAATTGAAGTGGGGGGTACATTTGGGGAAAAGTGATCATTACAAAATTAAATTTGAAGTTTTGCTACACATTGAGATCAAGTAAATGTTAGTTCCTAATTTTGAGAAAACAAAAGAAAATTAGTTAAATGTTGGACATATCTGGAAAATTTCTAAAAATGAACTGTTTATAATCAAAGATAGGCATGTTCCTAAGAATAGAAAAAGGATAACAGTAAAGATCAAACCTAACTGCATGACTAAGGACATGAAGGAGAAGATTTGAGCTAAATACAAGTTTAAACGGGTAGATAAGATGAAGATTTGTAGAACTATAAGGAAAGCTAGGGATCTGTTTCAAAAATAAATTAGAAAATGAAGAAGGGCTTATAAGAAACAGCTGGCTGATAATTCTAAGATATTGTGAGTGAAAGTAAAAATTGTGTAACAATATGTTAACAAAACCTTAAACACTATACCAATGTTCATCAGGCCATCTGGGATACGACAAACAAAGTAGTTGGTGAGCCAAACAAACTTATTTTAAACTACAAAAAAAAAAGTAACTGTATATAACTTAGTTACCAACAAGCTAGATTTCTTCTCTCAGTGATTAACTACCAAATTTATTATTTACATAATTATAGACAGCATATACATTGTATATCTTGGCTACAAACCAAAATTTCAGTCTAAGATATACAATGTATTTGCTCCCTATAATTATGTTAATAATTCTGATGTATTACCTATCAAATTACTGTAATAAATATTAACAATTATTTATACATAAGGTGCCAGAATGTACAACTGCTTTTCACTATGAGGAAGTTGTTCATAAACCAGCTAGTAGGAAAATTAATCATTGACCCTAAGTAAACATTTACGGGCCATTAGTGGTAATAAATACTATATACATATTTTGCGTGTTCCACATTTATTTAGCACATCCTTCAAATTCTTGTGTTCCTAATCCACAAAAAAATTAAATTTTAATTATAAAATTATATGAACTGAATAGGTAATTTATTTTTCCATTAACATTTTGATAATTGAAAGTATGACTGTAATTTTTTTTTTTAATAAACATCATAGACATCAGTATTTTATCTAAAATGATTCAAGAATCAATGCTATTAAAAGATGCTTATAGCTATAACAGCAATTCAGTGATGGATTACCCAATAGGCACTAGGAAAGCAGGGGCACCAAAAAAAAATGATAAAATTTTTTTGAAAGAATTTGATATTTCAAAGAAAGCATGAAAGTAGTCATCGTGGGAAAAATCAAAACTTTGTAAGACTTCCTTACACTTCAATACACACTCTTCTCTTTTTATTATTCATCCTAAACCAGGTCTACATTAATCAATATAAAATTTATGAAGTTGTATGTGTGTTTTCAATGTACTTTGTGTACAATTCTGTAATTTAGTGGAATTATGTTACTCACGTATGTGGGAGCATGGAACTGGTGAAAGTACTAGATATCATGTATGTATGTTAAAAAATGGTGTACATTGTGTAATTTGTTGTTTTTTTTTTATTTCAGATAACTGAGATAAGAGGTAAAATGAAATGCAACTGAGTGGAGCACAGAAACATAAATTGGTAGAAGAAACAGAACAAAAAAGAAGTGAAATTATCCAAAAAATTTCCCAAGTTGACATTATATTTCAAAGTGAATCCATCACAAGCAACACCTTCTCTTAGTAGCACAGACATCATTCCAAAATCTGTAGGTGTTTTAGAGATTGACCTTTCTTCTGATGGTGAAACAAACACCATTCCAGAACATGTGGATGTGTCAGAGACTGTAATTGATCATCCTACTCCTGGTGGTAAAACAGAAATTGTTCCAGAAGGTGTGGTTGTGTCAGAGACTGTAATTGATCATCCTACTCCTGGTGGTAAAACAGAAATTGTTCCAGAAGGTGTGGTTGTGTCAGAGAATGAATCTGCTCATACTGTAAATGTTTTATTTTTATGCAAAGCTACATGAGGGCTATCTGCACTAGCCATCCACAATTTAGCAGTGTAAAACTAGAAAGAAGGCAGCTAGTCATCACCACTCACCGCCAATTCTTGGACTACTCTTTCACCAACAAATAGTGGGATGACCATCAATTTATAACGCCCACATGGCTGAAAAGGCGAGCATGTTTGGTGGGAGAGGTATTCAAACTCGCAACCCACAGATACTAGTTGAGCGCCCTAACCACCTGGCCATGCCGGGCCACATGCTCTAATTAATAGGAGAAATGATCCTGGTATGTGGGTTGATTTCAGTACCAATGACTATCAACACCACACTGGTCCATTTGAGAAATTACGTCAGACTTTTAACAATGGCAAACAAACAAGATATTGTTCACAGAAAATATTTTTTGCCATGAAACCAAATGGTGAGAAAAACACTCGAGAATGGCTACTGTATTCACCATTAACAGTGTCTGTATACTGTTTTGTTTGCAAACTTTTGCACCTAAACCTTCAACAACCCAGTTTGCTGCTGCAGATGGATTTAGTGACTGGTGGAATACTGTATTAATTGAACAACATGAAAATAGCACTACTCACAGAGATTCCTTGTTAACATATTTAAATTGAGGACAGGGTTTTGGATTGACACAAAAATTAGAAGAACAAATTAAAGGTCAGCGTGAATACTAGCAACATGTCTTCAGCGTGTTGTACCCGTTATTCAGACATTAGTTGAATGTGATCTGCCTTTCCAGGGATCAAATGAGACATTTGGATCATTGCAGAATGGAAATTTCTTGGGATTGTTGGAGCTTGTGGCTCAGTTTAACCCATTTTTAACAGGCCATATCTCAAAATATGGGAATGATGGCAAAGGTAACCCATCATACTTATCAAAGACAGTATGTGATGAACTCATTGGTATAATGTGTGATAAAGTTCGTTCAGTTGTTGTGGATGAAATAAGTATTGCTGGGTACTTCCGTTTATCTGTTGACTCTACACCTGATCTTTCATATATTGATCATTTGAGTATTATACTAAGATATGTGTCTCCCACAGATGGAAACCAATTGAATGATTTATAACATTACTTAATTTGAAAAGCCACACTGGTGAAGAAATGGCAAATCAAGTACTGCATTATCTGTGCCAAGTTTGCAAAATAGATTTCTCAAAGTGCAGAGGTCAGTCTTATGTCAACACTGCCAACATGTCAGGGCATTATAAAGGAATGCAACAGAAGATTTTTGAACAAAACAAATATGCCATATTCATACCGTGTGCTGCACGCACTCTCAATCTTATTGGCCACAGTGCTGTTGATTGTTGTCCAGTTGCAATGAGTTCTCAACAGTCCAGTTACTTTATACATACTTCTCTGCCTCAACATACCGATTGGCAGTTCTTAAAACATATTTGGGCAATGAACATGTGTTGAAATCTCTTTCTGATACTTGCTGGGAGGCACATGCAGTGGGAACAAGTGTAATTCTGAAGTCCTACGCAAAGATTGTGGATGCATTAGAAAGTACAGTTGAAGACCAATCACAAAATGGAGAAACTATATGAGAGGCAGAAAACACTGCAAACAAGATGCAACAACAAGAGTTTGTATTCATGTTGGCCATGTGGAATGAAATTTCACAACACTTTCACTGCACAAGTCAAGATATCTTGCCTGATACTGACTATAAAGAAGCCCAGACCCACAAACGAATTAGGAAAAACAAGCAAATGATGGCAGTGCACCAGAAACAGCATTGAATCCTAAAGATAAATTTCGTGCATCTACTTACTACGCTATAATTGATGTACTTGAAGCTCATATGAAGAGGAGAGGTGAACTGTACAAAGAAGTATCAAGTAGATTTTCTTTTCTAAACAATATGGACTTATCTGATGAACAATATTCACAAGGTTTCCAAAAACTGGTTGACTCATACCCTGTTGAGTTAACATGAATCTCTGTGGAGAACTACGGCAGATCTTCTGTTATGTGTGTGCAAAGTTTAGTGAAAGAGAAAAAAACGAAATTCAGGCACACTGATCTTCATGATACCCAAGTGAAAGAGAGGATACAATGTGTATTTCCAAATGTAGATATTGCACAACATATTTTTCTAACATTGATGATTACTAACTGCTCCGCAGAATGCTCTTTTTGTCAACTAAAGAGAATAAAAAACCCTCAGAGAACAACATTTCAGGGCAGACTTGAATCGCTTTCCCTACTGTGTGTAGAAGCAGATATGCTTCATCGAGTCAGCTTCGATAAAATTATCCAGGATTTTGTAATCAGAAAATCTAGAAAGAAGCTATTTTAATTTCAGCATACATGTAAGTTTTGTTTCATTTCGAAAGATAAAGATTTATTTTATGGTTTAGTATTGTTTTTATTTAAAATTACATATATATATTGGGTACCATAATCTTTTCAGCGCTTAGGGCATCTAAAGGTCTTAATTTGTCCCTGAAAAATTAACCATAAAAAAAACATTCCAAAAGTTTAATTTCTCAAGATGTTAAAATATTTGAGTGTCATAAACAATTAGATTATAATAAAAAGACTCACTTTTTTTTATATATGCTGATTAACTGAGCTTAGAGCTACCATAATCAAGTTCTCCTTACCGAATCTGTCTGAGAGATGCAACAGGTAAGCAGGAATATCCTCCATAATCCACAAATTTGACATCACATTCTTCCATACCGTCATAAACATGCACAATCTGTGCACGAAACCAACCATCCATGACAGGAGCAGCACAGATAACACCAGCTACAGAGCCAGGAAAAAAATTAAGATAGCAATTAGAAAATAATTCATTTACAATATTAAGATTATATTACAAATTTAATCTGATTTGGTGATTTCTATATGCAAGAAACACATGCTGGAAACATTTAATGAGGATCTAATAAACAAATTGAAGTTAATCAAAAGTGTGATAATTTTTTATCAACATTATAAAATTTAGTCTTCATTTTCTTTATATATATTTTACTTTCTTAGACATATCTAAAGTACAGTAAACATGAATCAAGTAAGATATTAAAGAAAATAAAAAATATCCTCCTTCCACTTCATGGTTTATTTAATTTTAGTATAAATGAACTTATAGACATTTTCTGCATAACTCCTTGGAATTTTTTCTTTTTGCTTATGCTTTTAAAAGTATTCAAATACGATGATATGTCATGAGTATTTAAACTGATAATCATACCACTTTGCTGCAGAATAAATTAGAATTGTTCATTAATACAGCCACTGTAGCAGAAAAACCTTGTAAAGTGCTACATATGGCTTGTTTATTCTTAAGTCAATGTAGCAGCATTTATGCATCGAGTATAATGCTGCATGTTTGACTTAAAGTATCTGTCACAACAAAACCTTTGGAAGCATACCATTCTAACTGTTCACTTTAAGTTCCATGTGAACACACAAGGTGATGTCAAAACTGAATGTTTGCCTTTAACCCTTTGGAGACAGGTCAAAGGTGAAAGACCATGTCATCTCATTTGTTGACTCGCATTCAAAATTTTATTGAACTACTATTTCATGAATTTACGTCAATAAGTTTGGTATCAAACTGTAGATTACAATTCATATTTTAGAACTATACATTACTCAATTTGTTCATTTAAAAGTAAATATTAAAAAACACAGATAAACATAGATTTTTGTGTGTCACATGGTGTGTTGAATGCAGCACTGGTTCAAATTAGATGTTTGTGAAGTCAAACTACTAAGTCTATAGTTTAATACGACTTAGAAACTCAAATTACAAATATTGACAGCTAGAATATAAAATAAGATATTGCTCATATAATAAATCAAACACAGTGCCACCTCGCTCACCTCTTTTCATTTTTGGAAACGCTCCCTTATATACACTTACTTCTAT